TTATGAAGTGAAGGTTAYTACCCAAAATGCCCCTTTCATATATGTTCACAATGCTTAATTAAAATTAAAATTTTAAAAATTAAAATTTTAAATTGATTAATTTAAAACCATTGATCATATATTTGGATGACCAAGATCGGTTACTAATGTTAATATGAAAGGGTTGGTTAGCATTTGATCTTGGCTATATATATATATATATAGTATCTCATTATACTCTTCTTTGAAAACTATGCTTGATTTTTATTCGAACTAGAAAACCCTTGTGTAGTAGTAGTAATTCCTCTTTCCGAGAGTCCATGTTTTTCTGATGGAATCATGAAGATCCTTGTTTTATTACATCTGTACAAGCTCGAATGTCGGATTACAATTTTATAGTCGCCCCATTTATTTTTTAAATTGATAGTTGTTGGATTTCTACTCGATTTATTTTAAATTTCGCGAAATAAATAACTACACATGTAAACGATAACTGGTGTGAGTAACTTGAGCTCGAAAGTCAATCTCCAAGCTCGACTCGAACTCGATAACCATTTCTTAAACTCGAGCTCGAACTTGTTTAATGCATAAGAATATTAAAAGTTGGGAATAGATTTATAATACCAACAAAATAAATCTAGAAAATTAAGAGTTAGACAAATCACAACCAAATACAAAAGAAAGTCGAAAACTTACGATATTATAACCAAGCACATTCCATCAACAGACAAAAGACGATATGTTAAACACAATCTTATTTCATTCCATATTCGGGTTTCTTCATTTTCCTAGAAAAAAACATAAACAAATTACTAAACTAAGTAAAACTGAAACCTAAAAACTAGAAGAAGTTGAGGATGGCTAAAACAGTAAGCGGCCGTTTACAAAACGCTTACCCGGTAAATGCTTATTGGGTAATTTTTCTTACCGATGAACATGACAAGGGTAAAAAATACCAGTAAGAACAATGATAAAGATGGAGAGTTTTTGCTCGGTAAGTGAGAGTGACGACTCTTACCCGGGTAAGTGCTTACCGGGTACATTGTTGCATATAATACTATTTTGATGTACTACAATCTTACCCGGTAAAATAAATTATAGCTTTAGTTCTTAACGTAAGCGCTTACCGGGTAAGCATTTAGGTAAACGACCCCTAAGTAAAATCAGACTAAATCCAAAAACAGTAAGATAGAGTTTGGTATGTAGATATGATTGGAAAGAATTAGACATGATAAAACTGGACATGACAAGATGGTAGGACTGCACAGAAAGTGCTTATTTGGTGTTTGGTATGACTAGGACTGAATATGACAAAACTAGATAAGTTACCCCAAAAGTTATTTTATGATTTTTTATATATCATATAATAGTTATAATTAACAAAAATAAAGTAAATAACTTAATTTATAAACATTTTTACACAATTTTCATATATATAAATATAAAATAGCACTAAATTTGAATGAATTTTTTTTATATAATTGATGGTATTTTGATAAAACCCGATTCATACAAAGGAGAAATTATGTTTTATTCGGTTTGGATGATCCTTATCAATTGGTGAAGGCACGGTAAAGATTGTTGCAACACATAATAGTTGTGAAGGTAGAAACATTGATAATTGGTGGACAAGAGTGGTTGTGGAGGACGTGAAGATGGTGGATAGAAGTGGTGGTGGTGGGTGGCAGTGGTGGAGGAGATAGTTGTGACCTATGTGGTGGAGGTAGGTATGATGGTAGGCAGTGGTGGTTATGGTGGAGGTGGCCGACGATACTATTGGTGGTGGAGATGGACGAATGTGGTTGTGGATGCCATGTATATGGTAGATAGTGGTAGTGGTGGCCGACGATGGTAGTGGTATCGGTGGTGGTGGGCGGCAGTGGTAGAAGAGAAGGTGGAGGTGGCCAACGGTGGTAGTAGCGATGGAGAACGGTGGTAGGTGGCCAATGGTGATTGTGTAGGTGGTGATGGATGGTGGTAGTCGATGGTGGTTGTAGAGGAGGGGGAGGTCGCCGATGGTGGCTACATGTGGTGGTGGCGGCCGCCGCAATTAGCGGTAGTGACCACTAAAACAAATATCATGTTAAAGTTATATCAAACGAGGGTTAGTTAGCAATATTTTAGTTTCTATCTCATTCTTGTCCCATGTTGCAGTTCTTATCCATGTCTCATGTTGTATCAAATGTGGGACAGTGAGTTCTTGTCCTATCCCATGTCACGTCAAACGTGAGACAGTGAGTTTTATCCCGTCTCATCATATATTGTTCCATGTACTAAACGCATCCTAGGTAAAACAAGACTAAAACGAAACGTATTCCGTTAAATCGACGATGGCTAAAACTCAAAAATTTAAAATCATTGAGATTCCTTACTAGTGGAGAAGAACGGGTGAGAGAGGTGCATGAGAAACCCGGTCGGCGGGCGTAGACTCGCCTGAGAAGAAGTCCACCGGCACAATAGATCCGAGCTTTTCTAAATTTCACAATACATCCTTTTATTTTCAATTTTTATTTATTATCTTAGTATTCATTTAGTATATTAAATTAATATATATTTTTTATTAAGATGGATATCCAACTCGTTATACGAGCCGACTAATCATAGGATGACCACCCATGAACTGGACTCATCGCATTTAAACCTCCGTGGTCACAAGGGGATTTTTTTATTCCTCCTTGGACCTTCAAGCATTTTTGATCTTTAGAGACCAAGCTCAAATCAATCTGGCATCACCCTTGTGGTTTAAATTAATATATCTTATAAATTATATTTGAGCATCTCATGAACTTATCAAGTTGAGTTTCAGGTAGCTTGACTCGACTCGTTAGTATGTCAAGTCGAGCTCGCGAACTGTCTTGTCTCATTTACACTCGTAGCTGTGAGAACGTGATGTTACCTTTTAAGAAAAGAGAGGAAATGTCAAAGAAAATTAAGCGGGAAAATGATTTTAATACTAATCATATCGAACCAAAGTTATTAGAGGTATACTGAATGCATCAACACTAAACCGAACCATTGAGACAAAGAAAATGCAAAAGAATATGCCACCTTATAATTCTATAAAACATCGGGAAGCAATCAAGACTAATGTTGAAGCAAACATGAAATTTCATTGTAACAATTATGAAACAATTATATTTGATTTTGTACTGTAGTATGAAAGCCTCTTAATACCATTTAATCATTCTATATCAAACCATTCAACAACTGCTAAACAGTTCCAAAAGTTAAAAGTTTTTTTTTTTTTTTTTCAAATGATGACTCATAATTATTTTTCCATTTTGACAACTAAAATTTAATACCATGTCTTTACAGGAACATAAAAACTGTAAACTACGAATTTGGTCCTTATAATTTGTCAAAATAAATGCTTTTGTCCTTATATTTTAAAAAATAACACTATTGTTTATAGAAAATAACATTATTTTATTTAACACGAAATATATTATTAAAAATATTATATAATTTTTTCATCCTTATATATTTAAAAAAACTAATAAAGAAATATATTAGTGAAAAATAATAAAATAACATTTCTTTCTTCTCTTTCAAGAGCTTTACAGAATATTTGTTATTTTCTCTAGATTTTTCTATTTTAGAGAACAATATAAAGAATTTATTTAATTAGTATAAAGAACACAAATTTTATTTTCTCTATTTTAAAGAATACATTGGACAAACCCTTGAATATATATAAAGTTTGCTTTATATTCTAAAATGATTATTTTAAAAGTTGATTTTCTGAAACAAAAATAAGATGAAAGTTAATTTTATTTAAATGTATTTTCTCTTGTTTATATTTAGTAGGGGTGTTCAAAAAAACTGTTGGACCGCTCAAACCAGCCGAACCAAGTCAAACCGGACCGTTTTTGACGGTTTGAGCGGTCTGGCAGTCCAGTCTAGTTTGGAAAATAGCAAAACCGGTCTGGTTTGGACCAAACCGACCGCCAAATACACATATATATATATATATATATATATAAAACCGTTAAACTTTTTTATTTTGAGTAATTTAGTTATTAAATTATTATTTTTAATGAAAAACCGTTAAACTTTCTCATTATAAATGATTAAGTACTTGATTATTTTATTGAATAAATAAACCATCGAACTATTGAGAATTGTATCATCCACATTCTTTTAACCCAAAAAAGTTACATGTTACCGACTCAAAATGTTTCAAAGTAAAAAAATATAAATCAATTTTATCATTTCCAAACACAACGCACAACAATGAGACCGATGGCAGGGGGCCAAGAACGATGATGGGTAGTGACAGAAAGCAAACAACGTTGAGGCAACAAGGAGTTTGACTGACGTAGGGTTGAGAACGGTAAAACCATAAAACTGATTTAAAATTTCTTTTTACTTTAAAATCTTCCTAGCCAATTTGAGGTAATTTTTTCGGGGTTAAAAGAATGTAGGTAACCAATTTTTAAAAGTTTGATGATTTATTAATTCAAAAAATAATAATAACTCAGAGCCTTAATCATTCAAAATGAGAAAGTTTAATGATTTTCATTTAAAAAAAGTGTTTGAGACTAAACCATTCAAAATAAGAAAGTTTAATAGTTTATTCATTTAATTTTGTAAGGATTAAACCATTCAAAACAAAAAAAATTGATCGAAGTTTTTTAGACTTTTCCCTAAATTCTTTTAATAAAAATATCACCTCCTTGATGTGGTTTCTAAATCCCTTCATAGTAGAAAATATTGCTAATTTTATGAGATGCAGTTTGTTCAACAAACCTCAGTTTCTTTTATTTCATTTTTTTTGCATTCTTCGTTTGATAGATTCATTTTCTCTAGTATCAGTACACACCAACTTAAAAATATATATATATTCGTACAGTTTGTTGTTATTTGTGGCGTAAACATGAATATGCCACAGAAACACATATAGTTATGTGTATATATATATATGTATGTATGTATGTATGTATGTATGTATGTATGTATGTATGTATGTATGTATGTATGTATGTATGTATGTATGTATGTATGTATGTATGTATGCGTAATTCACAATTAAAAGACACTTGTTATTGATAGCTAGTAGTATATATAAGCACACCAAGCTCTTTTTCAAAACAAGAGCTATATGCTTTCGAAATGGAACAAGAAAAACTTATATCATAACCCTTTAAATATATGTACATAAACATATATACGCACACAGTGTATATGAATATAACGGAATGAAAATGGAGTTTTAATTCTTCTAATTTTTCATGGGTTCTTCTTTTGGGTGTAAATATAGTCGAGGTGAGCAACAAGAGTCCTTCTCATCAAGCACTCTTCTTCACCGACTCCTTCACAACCTTCTTCAACCTCTACACCCTACAACAATTCAAACATGAAACCAGTAATAAGTGATGATCCTGCCATTGTTATTCTAATAAGCGTTTTTCAAGAGTTACTTTTGGTAACTATTGGTGTCTAGGCAGTTTGCGCACGCCTCAACTACTCTCATGTGACCCTAAAGATAATAGTACAAAAAAGCTAATATTTCTCAAGAGACTCGAACTGGCAACCTATAGAGAGGAACCCTAGAACCTAACATCTATTTTCCAGTTGAGTTGGCCTTCAAGGTTTAATCTGATATAAGATTCCAAAAGAGTTGGCTTACCTTGTTTCTTGTTGTGGTTGTGGCGCCGATTGCAGGTTCTGGTCGAGCAGAGGTGGAGGAGAAGGTAAAAGAGAAGAGGATGAGGGTTATGATAAGGAGGAGAGCGGTGGCTCTAGGCATCGTTGTATATGGTGTTGATATTTGGTGGTTGAGTGAGGGTTGAGAAAGAGTGTGTGAGAATTTATATAGACCAAAAAGTTTGGTGTGAACTTAAGTGAAATTGAAGTTAGGGTATATACATATATAAATATTTGTATATACATATATAAATATTTGTATATATATATATATATATATATATATATATATATATATATATATTAAAGTCAAGGACCAAACCCATATCTAGAATTGTTGTATCAAACTATTCTATGCCACATGATTCTTTCAAAAGGGTACAACTTGAAGTTACAACCCATACAATATTTATTTGATTCTTTTTATTATAATATATTCATCGACAGACTCAGGATTTATAATATAGGGTTGGGTTCACGTGAGACCAAAAGTTTTTCATAAGACCCGTAAGATCAATTTATGTTCATTGATTAACTTTATAAGCTAATGATCTAATGGTCTAAAGTTGCACGGTGACAATTTTGTGATTATTGAGAAGTCTCGTGGCAGTTTTGTGATTATGAATGTTCAGATTGTAGATCTAATCCAATGGTTGAGAATTGGTCTTACGGGTCTCACGAAAAACCTTTGGTCTCACATGATCCCAAGTCTTATAATACATATAGCTATTAATATAATTGAAAAACATAGATTAGAACTAGAGATTCCATGTGATCTAAGAGTATCCGTAACAAGAAAAAAGACACTTTCTGCTTTCTTCGTGTTCAAAAAAACTACTGAAAATAAATAAAAAACGTTGCAACTACTGTTGTTATATAACTTCTTTGAGTATAGGATAAGGCATATGGTGGGTTTGATATAGAGCAAGAGTTGTACGTGTACAGTCTTGTAATCCAGATCATTTGGTACGTGATGTGAGTACATCATGAATCGATGAAATTTGGCGTTATGTCGTTTTGTCAAACAGTTAGCATGTAATGGTATTTTAACTACCGGAATTGGTAATTAGGTTACAATCCATAAGTAAGTTTGAAGGGGATCGTTGAAAACTAGAATTTGGGTAGGTACTCTTCAATAAATGCTAGAAGTCGACTTAGAACCTCTCTTCAGGATGTTTCATTCAACTTAATATCGTCGTATTCAAATTCAACCACGTCCACATGTCATCATGAGATTTGCTTTCGAATTAGTTCATCAATACATCGATGGACTTTTTTCGGCAAATTTGTTCTTCAAAACCAATCTTTTTTCTGTCTGTCATAATTTTCAAATCCATAACCAGTTAAAATAAAACCTGATAAAGTAGATATAAACTTTTTATTCTATCAAATAAAAAAATTAAATATCTTTTAAAAGTCAAGATACTTAAAAAAATAATATATTTGGATAATTTTTTATAACATATTTTAAGAATCTTTATTCTATTGGGTTTATAGGACATTCTCAATTTCTAAGCGTCCTAATAGACCTCTTGATAAGACTTAATTTATAGGACCAAAAAAATAAAGCGTCTTATCTAAAGGTGTTGTAATAAGTTTATATGATGTGTTTTGACGTCATATTAAGTTTTTTTAGAACATTTTTAATATAAAACGTCCCATTAACAATTTTATAGGACACTATTTGAAAATCTGTCCTATAAAAACAAATGTCCTATAAAAAATTGAATTTATAAGACACTTTTGAAAAAGTGTCCTATAAAGTTTATAGTGCGACACTTTGTATTAAAAATGTCCTAAAAACCTTGTTAAGACTCCCAAAAGCGTCATATAAACTTATTACAACACCTTTAGATATGACACTTTATATATTGGTCATATAAATTAAGTCATCTAAAGCGGTCTATTGGGACGCTTAGAGATTGTGGGCGTCCTATAAACTCAATTTTGTTGTAGTGTATTTTCCTTGTAAACGAGTTGTCTTGATTCTTTACTGAATAATTATTGTAAGTTATCTAGATTCACGAATCTTTTGTTTCTAACTTAATTTGATGTTTAATACCTTTCTAATAACTGTGTGTGGACGCGCTACGTGATTGAATAAAGTAAAATGTGAAATAAAACGAATTTATTATGAAATAGTCAGCGAGATATTAATGAAATACATCAAAGCAACTACTTCATTTATTACCAGAAAAAAAACGAAATAATGATCGACCACAGTACAACAGACTAATCAACTCCGTGAATCATTCCTAGAGCAATAAATACTTGTTAACGTGTCAGCCTTGAATAATTTTGTAACTTTATTGACGTAAAAAGTACATAATACTCTCTCATAAGATATAAAGCGGAAGTATGGGCGATACAATAAACATACGTGATTATAAAGTAAAACATATGTAAAAAACACGATAGTGCTTCTAGAAGTTTAGTCTATGTGAACGATATATGAAGGTTCATGAACGGACATAAACATGTGTTTGAAATACTTTTCTCAATTCACTATTGACGATGTGGAATTCCATAATATTAAATAATCGATCACGTTAGAGTGGGGCATAATGGTAATTTTCTTAGAATTAGACGTACAAATCATGTCGAGTCTGATTGATACGCCAAGATAACATAAATATTCAAAAGAGATCGAGAGCTCAAATATTGTAAGAAAAATTGGAGTTCTTGGGTCGTGAGAAATCACTACGGAACCTGGACAAAAACTAAGATCGTGTAGAACTCATTTTTCTCGAGCAACCAATTAAATGAGCAATTATGGGGCAACTTCAAAATGATATATGTATTAAAATTCAGAAATAACCACAAGGGTGGTGTCTGATTGGTTTGATTTTGAGCTCCAAAGATCAAACGTGTCTGGAGGTCCCAGTTTCAAATTCAAGGAGGAATAAAAATTCTCTTGTGGCCACGAAGTTCAAATACGGTGACTCCGGGCTACACGCAAAGCATGTGGTCGTCCTGTGATTAATCGGTATGCATAGTAAGTTGGATATCCAGGTTAATAAAAAAAAATATCAGAAAGAAAGTGAAATACTTTTCGAATCCAAGTCTGACCTTCTGAAATATAGACTTCTACAAACTTTGAACAAAGTTAAGAAGAGAGCTAAAATCCAACTTCTTTATTTTTTTATGAGTCCAATTACATAAAATAAAATAATAATTTATTCCAGTAACAAACAAATATATCTATTTGTAAAATAAATTAACAAGAAATATTTGATACATAAAAAAGGGTCTCTTTTCTGAAATATAATTTTCTCGTTATTTGAATGGAAATTTCTACATAAAAACGATCGACCAACAAATCAGATCTATCTTTTATTTTATCTTTTTGACTTTGAAGATCATGTCCACAAATCTTCAAAAGCTATTTGTAGGACCAAACTTTATCGAAAATGGTTGAGCTTCACTTCAATTATCGAAAGTTTTTTTTTTTTTTTTTTGATTAACCTGGATATCCAACCCGCTATGCGAGTCGACTAATCCCAAGACGACCACCTACTTTGCAGATAGCCCAGAGTCACCGCATATGAACCTCCGTGGCTACAAAGAGATCTTTATTCCTCCTTGGGTTTGAACCTGAGACCTCTTGATACTTTTGACCTTTAGAGTTAAGCTTAAACCAATCAGACATCATTCTTGTGGTCAATTATCGAAAGTTTTGGATTGCAAGGAAGAAAACGTGAAGGAATATATATATGAGTAACATATTTTATTAAATAAAAATTGTTAAATTAAATTAAATTAAAAAAAGTGGTATTATCTGTAACTGATTATTCTTAATAAATTGATTTTGTCACAAAGATAAATATGTATGATTAAAAGTTCACATTATATATGATAATTTGGTCAATGATTTTATCAATCATACAATCATATTTGATAATTGTAGATATTTTTGTTAATTATATGTGATTATGTGTATTTATATTTATAAATCTTTTTGTGATAATATATCACTTATATTCAGACATTTATTATCACATGTGATAATATGTAACTTATACTCACATATATATATTATGATATGTGATATGTGCAAAAATTTATAGAGTGGATCATATGTAATACGTAATAGTTCATATGTTAAACGAAACTGATCACATATGATTCCAAAAATGAATCTAAAAAACAGAAAGAAATGATAAAAGAGATGATGAGTTAATTGTAGATATCACATGTGATATTTGATAAAAATTGTGATAGTTTATTTATCAAAAGTGTATCTACAAAAAAAAATTATATAAAAAATGATAAAAGAAATTCTAAATTAATTAAAGTTAAAAAATAAAAAAATGTAAAAGATATAATGAGATGTTTAATGGATTTATATAGTATTTTTGTTACAATTACGATATTTTATCAATTTTAAGATAGTAATTTAAATTTCTAAAATTATTGCAAATTGACTACCTTCTCGTTTGAACTTGCCTCTATATATAGGGTCAGACTCAAATGAGAAGATGATCAATTTGCAAGAAAACGAGAAGTTACAAGATAATATATGATTACATGTGATATATACACTTAATCATATATGATTAAACATATGTTATGTTGAGCAGTGGCGAACCCCAAAGTTTTTCCTAGAAGTTGCACTTGTAAAGTGGATTAAATGCCTATATAGTCGTCTGATGTGTTTTTAGTCGAATTCCACTATTTCAAGAGATTTTTTAAAAGTTTTTTGGTTGATTTCAATGAACTTTTTTATTGATTTCAATGAACTTTTTCGGTGTTCTAGTTGATTTCGAGGGATTTTCCCCAGTTTTTTGGTTGATTTTGAGATTTTTTTTTTTGATTTTTTGGTTGACACTCTTTATATTTTCTAATATCCTAGAGCATCGCTGAAAGTTTAGCAGGTGTTCCTTTTATACCTTAAAAAAATACCTACAAATCAGTTGAGTGAGTGCACAGGTTCTCGCTCAGGCATGAATAGATCCGTCCCTCACATTGAGCCATTGATCGAAATATAGCGGGTAGTCTTTGGTCGTGTTCACCAAGGCACCCATGTCCCTTTTGGATGTGTCTAAATCATATATGATTAAACGAGCATATCACATGTAATCATATATGATTTTGGAACTTTTTGCAATGAACATTTCATAAAATTACTGTGACGTTGGGTGTGTGCTTCATGTGAAA